GGGAAACATTCACGTGTTACTCAATAAGATTTCCACTGCCGTCACTGGAACCTTTCCCTGGTCGTCACTTTGCGCCCTTCTTCCCGTGCTAACACTGAAATTTTCCTAGATAATCTATCTCCTGGAAATTTCCAAAGAATGACATTTCTAGTGAAATTTCTAGAAATTTCGTAATTGAAAAATCAACTATTGAATTGATTGATTTATAATTTGATTCGAAACTCGATGAAAACTGTAAATTTCAATTAAATTATTCAGTGAAAATTCGAAATAATTTAGAAACTAGAAATTAGAAAAAAATTGACGTTTCGTGAGTTTTTCCCCCTTAAATTGAATTAAACTTCGTAAAAACTTCACAAAAACATTCGATTTTTTTTACTAAAGTTCTTACATCGTTCAGAAGAGTTCCGATGAAAATTCCTGAAAAGCCAATACCCAACGCCTATTAGCCCCTAGGGATAATTTCTATTAAAATACATTTTTCTCGTAGAAGACGAAAAACAAAAAGTCTCCCTCGGCGAAAAGCTCCACCCAGTAATGTCGACCATAACAATGATTTATCCGAAAGTACATTGAACAATATTACAAGAACTAATGGAGCGATTCTCCGAACAAATAATGCAGACGATCAATATTTGTTGTTTATGAAAGAGACTCTCCAACGTAACATAAGTTCACCCCTGCGTAATACCGGAAAATTCTCTCGTGCATTTCCCGGATTTAACCCAACATTTGTTTAACCCCATTCTCCTGTTGTTTGCGAGAGAGAGAACCCTGCCATTTACCCGGATCTTCAAATGTTCTCTCAGGACAAAAATAAACTCCCCTTTTTTTCCCTCGCTCTCTTTTTCTCCAGCATTTCCCCTATTTTTTTCCCCATTGCCAGTGGGCCAGAGATCGCATTCATACTCGAGCCCAAGGAAATCTCTTCAATTCCACTTCAATTTCACTGTTGAGATAGTTACCTCTAGTATACGAAGAACAGGCATTCCTTCCACCCCCCGCCGCCCCCTCCTATTACCCCTTTCGGCCATGTTGGAAAATCCCAGAGCGGAATTGAATATCCTCAACGACCTACTTCGTTATTTGCGTCGAAGCTGTAACGTGTCCCCTTCATCCCCCCAGCTCCGCAGAGCATTCCCCCCGCCCCATGTTTCTTGGCTTACTCCTCTGACAGATTCCTTTTTAGCCCCGCAAGGTATAAGCAAGTCGCACGGTTATTCCAATTTCACTGTGCAATCTCTTGTGTATTCATTCTTTGGACTGTTTCCTTCCTCTCCGTGTGACCCCTTCTCTCTCTTTTTATAACTCCTTGCCAATTTTATTCAGACAGTAGAAATGAAATTAGGTATTTCAGTTGTGGACTTGGGAGAACATTTTTGCTCGTGATAGAGACTTTCAACGACTAAAGGATAGTATTTGCATGGAAAAAGAGTGCAGTGAAAATGATACAGTTATTTAAATAATGCTCTGTATGGACGAATTTTCTACTAATTTCGATAATATTTTTCTGCTCAAAATTGTTGACTGAAATTTATGGTAGACTTGTTGGAAATTTTTATCACATTATAGTCCTGCTGGATTTTTGTGGCTCAATGTATAAAAAAAGCACACGGGTTTTCCAATTTGAATGTGCAATTTCTTGTGTATTCATTGGACTGTTTCCTTCCACTCTGTGTGACCCCTTCTCTCTCTTTTTATAACTCCTTGCCAATTTTATTCAGACAGTAGAAATGAAATTAGGTATTTCAGTTGTGGACTTGGGAGAACATTTTTGCTCGTGATAGAGACTTTCAACGACTAAAGGGTAGTATTTGCATGGAAAAAGAGTTCAGTGAAAATGATACAGTTATTTAAGTAATGCTCTGTATGGACGAATTTTCTACTAATTTCGATAATATTTTTCTGCTCAAAATTGTTGACTGAAATTTATGGTAGACTTGTTGGAAATTTTTATCACATTATAGTCCTGCTGGATTTTTGTGGCTCAATGTATAAAAAAAGCACACGGGTTTTCCAATTTGAATGTGCAATTTCTTGTGTATTCATTGGACTGTTTCCTTCCACTCTGTGTGACCCCTTCTCTCTCTTTTTATAACTCCTTGCCAATTTTATTCAGACAGTAGAAATGAAATTAGGTATTTCAGTTGTGGACTTGGGAGAACATTTTTGCTCGTGATAGAGACTTTCAACGACTAAAGGGTAGTATTTGCATGGAAAAAGAGTTCAGTGAAAATGATACAGTTATTTAAGTAATGCTCTGTATGGACGAATTTTCTACTAATTTCGATACTATTTTTCTGCTCAAAATTGTTGAGTGAAATTTATGGTAGACTTCTTGGAAATTTTTATCACATTATAGTCCTGCTGGATTTTTGTGGCTCAATCTATAAAAAAAGCACACGGGTTTTCCAATTTGAATGTGCAATTTCTTGTGTATTCATTGGACTGTTTCCTTCCACTCTGTGTGACCCCTTCTCTCTCTTTTTATAACTCCTTGCCAATTTTATTCAGACAGTAGAAATGAAATTAGGTATTTCAGTTGTGGACTTGGGAGAACATTTTTGCTCGTGATAGAGACTTTCAACGACTAAAGGGTAGTATTTACATGGGAAAAGAGCCCAGTGACAATGATACAGTTGATTCAAATAATGCTGTGTATGCAAGAATTTTCTACTCATTTCAATTATACTTTTTGGTTTAAAATTTTTTGACTGAAATTTATGGTACACTTCTTGGAAATTTTCATCACATTATTGTCTCACTGGAATTTCAAAGAATTTCGTCATCAGAAATTCAAAATTGTGTGAAAAAATCAATAGAAAGTGGAATCTTCAGTTTAATTCTTCACATGGAGAAAAAAGCTTTCATTTTCAGCAATATGTCACTAATTTCCCTGGACATGTGACCGATTCTCAGGAATCTATAACCAACTATTGGTGATACTGTTGGAATCCCTTTAAAATTCTCCGGATTTCAGAATTTTTGGAAAATTAATTTTTGGAAATTAAAGAAGAGATTTCTCAGAGTTTTCCTGACTTTTCACTAATTTCTCCGGAGTAAGTAAATTTAAATTTACAGTTCCCACGGATTTTTCCCTGAAATTATGAATTTTTAATGACAAAATTCCTTGAAATTTTAGTGGAAATGTAACTTATTGGACATTTCCAAAACTCTTACCAGAAATTTCAGTGGAAAATTTTTAACAGCGTAGGCTCTTTTGTGACACAAGCAATGCCACCTCATTTTAATAAAAATATCTCTGAATTCATTATATTTTTCAACGGGAGGAGCGGATTTTGCGGAGTTGGAATAGTACTTCAGTGGCAATTAGGATACCCCTCGAAAAGGTGTTTTTTCGGAATAAATTCAAATGGTGGATAAAGCCCCTTCACTCCACAAACAACGGCCCCAGCCATATTTCCCTTCTTGGGCTCTTGAACGACCGATTGAACTTCAATACCCGCTCGAGAGAGGGGCATCAAGAGGATAAGAAACTGTAAGAGGGCAGAATGAAAATAAAGAAAACGTAAAATGGAGAAAACGGTGAATGAGGGTTTGGGATGAATTGGAAGTTACATTCGATATTTAGGATTTACTATCGGTTCAGAATTCCTATAACAATGGTACACGGAGGAGAAGCTTTTCATTCCGGAATCTACAGCCGTTTTACTCCACTCAAATGTGCTTTCCTCTCGGGACAATTTTTTTTGTGAGAGACTCGATTGAAATAAAATAAAAAAAACGGGAGGAGAATGTGAAATTTCCATACCATCGACTTTTCAGGGTGTATCTGGAGGGGGAGGAGTATACTCTGGAGGTCATATTGTAGTGAATACAGGAGTGTGTCGCGGAGAAGCGCTTCAGATTTGAAATTTATCGTGAGCTTTTATGCTTTCGTCTTTTGGTCCCTGAAGTAAACCCATCTCATCTCATCCTTCTCCCTCGTTTTTGACGTAAATCAGGCAGCTCTTGCATTTCTCTTGGAGGCTATAAAGTTGTCTCAACAAATTCACTGCGGGAAATCACATGAATCATTTTTAAGAACCGTTTCAAGGAAAACGGAATTTGTGAGATCTATTGGATGAAATCTATTGGAGAACACGGAGGAAACAGAATATTCATTACTAGAATAATTTTCATTTGGGGAAAACTTGGATTTGACGTACATTTTGGAAATTCAATTAAATATAAATACTACAGGAAGGAAAAAGTTGGGAAAAAATTACCAAAAAAAAGAACTAATTATGGGGCGGAGTTAAGTCCCAGCTTTTTTTAACTCTATATCGAGAAAAAAATGGAGTGTTAAAAATTTTTGGCTGCAATTTCCGATCCATTTTTTGGATTTTTTTTAATTACATTTCAACTCCACTGAAATTTCAACGAAGTTCGTCTTTGAAAATTTAGAATTTTATAGAAAAATTAGTCAGAACTGTAAATATCGGTTTAATTGTTGCAAATTCAGTAGAATTTCGCACTGATTATTCATGTTTTCTTGTTTTTGTGGACGGAAAAGTTGTCAGCGAAGAATAAAATACACATGTAAAATATATAAATAATTTTATTGTTTTATAATACACTGTCCTATCTATATTACAAATATACAAAATTTGTATTTACATTTACAGCTCGAGGTGCCTGTGCCCCATCGGAGCTCTGAACAAACAAGAAGAGTAGCGAAGAATAATTTTCCATAATTCTTTTTCATTCTCATTAATTTTTTTTTCATTTCATTTCAATAAACACGATCGTCGGCTCAACGACTGCCCGTTAAGAAAGAGAAAAATGGTAATTCGTTGTGATACAAGATACGAGGAGTATGCTGATTCTTGCACTAATTACGTTTTTTTTCAACTACGAAAGCTATCACGATTTTTTTTTCATTTTTTTCTTTTCAAATGTAGAAATGGCTATTAAATTGTAATCGGCAAATGGCATTATGTGTACTCCAGCGCAATAGTAAGAATTTCTTCATGATCATAAGTAGATAGAATAGTCTCAATACTCTGGAATCCTGGAATCAGAGGAGAAAAAAATGCATGAGGATTATTGAGTCGAGAAAAACTTGTTAATGCTCCCGGGTAATGAGCGAAAAGTCTTCGGAGGTTTTGAACAATTGGAAGTTTCTTAATGAGGAGAACAGGCATGAGTGAAATGTGTGATGAGTGGAAAGTCCTCAGTCTTCAAAATGAATCTTCAATACCTTCCGACCAAGCGATACCATCTGCATGAATTTTATCTCATTTGGAAATTGAATGAAAGAATTTTCGAATGGAAGACAATCGACAGCTCATTTCGCCCCGCTTTCCTTTGATGAAACTAAAATATTGGGTAGTACTCATTTAACAATGAGAAATTGAAGTTATCCAAGGACTTTCGTTATTTTTTTCCCAGTGAAATACTTTTCTGCTTTTGTATTCACACATCAGAGCTTTCATTTGAGTCCCATTTAACCCTACGTTTGCGAAAATTTTACAATGATTTTATTATTTAAACTGCACAGGTCTGAATTGGAAACTCGATATCGAACGGTTAGAAAACGTTTTAAAAATTTGACAAAAATTGGAAAGTTGACGTTTGGAGAAAGATTAATGGAATAATTAAAAAATTGCGATCATCATTCCGAAAAAAATAAGGTTTAAAATTTAATTATTTATTTATGAACTACGAATGTTTAAAGAAGTAATAATTTTGCGCAAAATGTAACTTCAATGACACTGAATATTCATAATTTTTGTCAAATTTTCAACGAAATTGTAATTTTCAGATCCATATGACGATGAAAATTCTTTAAAATAGTGATAGCTCAGGCATCTATTGTTCTGAACTGTCAATCTATAAAAAATTCAATGCAATGAAATGTTGAATCCTCTCAATGGGTTTAATAATTCAAACTGTTATTAAAATTATAATGATAGTTCAACTCATAACAAATAATTTCCTGGAATTTCCAAAATGAATGACATATTTCTTAAATGATTTCCAATTGAATTCAAATTCGCACCATTAAAAATTCAGATCTAACTGTTTCCTAAATTCCCAAAAATTTGTTACAGTGTATTTAAACTTTGAATATCTCCATCAGATTAATCATTTCTATCCATTAGAAAATGTTTCAGACAGCTCCAAAAATGGAAAAAAATCGATTTTTCGAATAAAATCTCTAAATTGAAAATGAACAAATTTCCAAAATTAAATCCAACGAGTAATCCCATGAAATTCACACGTCCCAGTAGTAATGACCACGTGCCCTCGAAGACACCCGCCCCACGAAACTCCCTCGACGTACCACTCTTTTCCACCTCCAAAGACCTTTAATTTTTCAACCCGCCGAACGACAAACGATATTTGCATTGCCCTCTGCACTCGCTGCCCCCTAACCCCTCTGATATTCCAATTTGCAGGTGGGCGTTGCCAACGACTACAATAAAACTAGAACAGATAAAAACTCACCTTCTCTTCCGTGATATCCAGAGACTCCATACGTGGATAAAGTCCGATAATACCTCTGGCTAGGATTCACATCTGAAACAAAAGGAACAGTACGAAATTGAATCGAATCTCCTTCTCCAGCAAACCGCTCTACTTTTATACATCTACAATTCTTTTCATTTCCCATTTCATTTCTCTCCCAACACCAATACCCAAGCCCACCGACTGGTGCAAAGGGTAGAAACAATCTTTACAGACGAAACTCTATTTCGTAATGAAGAAAGGTTCAACGGAATTCCATCATGAGAGAAAAATTCCGGTGTTTCTGTCGGTTGGAGAATGAAACCTTTGGGTGGTCGAGGAAAAATCCACAGGACGCTGCGGAATTCCGTATACTGTAATAAAATTCCTCTCTCCCCTATACATATGTGCTCAACTTTCAGCACGTAATCACACCCGCGAGATATACCAAAGGTACAAGGGAAGAAAAAAGAGATAAGATTCTTGTTTTCTTTCACGTCCTTCTCCATCGGAAATTTTCCCCTATGTATTACACATGTATGTGCACTATTCTTACTCTCGTATTTGACCACGATTCCAGCTGTCGCAGCTTCGATCGTTCCCCCCCGAATTTACGATCCTTGAATTACGATCCCCAGGTTTCTGGGGGACAAGAGGGTGTGTCGAGAAACGTTTCAAAGCAGCGTAAAATATCACATTCCACGTACCTCAATTTTACGGTTTTTTGAGGATTGGTAAATACATCAGGGGCTCCGGTGAAAGGGTAAATTCGTGCAACAGCAGATTTTTATTTGATGCCGGAAAAATCGCGGGACGATTTATAGATTACTTTGTCATTTAATGGTGTACAACAATTTATTATTTACGCCCAGCGTGGGTTGAACCTATTTCCCTGAGAATAAGTCCCACAGAGAGAGAATATTCCACTGGCATGACTGGACTTTGCGCTTTCACATGGAATTTTATGTGATCTCGTCACCGTTGTTTTCTAGCATCAAATGCAATTTTCCACTTCATTCTTCTCCACTTCTTCTGTCCAATCCCACATTTATCCTCTTGCATTACTATTTCTCACTCCTCAATCCCCCGGAATCTCCTCGACTGATCCCCACGAAAATTATGATTTTTCCGTTTCAATAAAACAGTGTTCATCTCGATCACGGTTATCCACGGAAAGAATATTAAATTATTTTTTATTGTGGAAACATAGTCATTCTCAATATGAGAAATAGAAGGCCGGACCATACCCGGCACACAAAGATTTGAGGACAAATGAAAAACTACGACGTGCTGAATGAAAAAATACAGCTGACACAATGAACTCAAGTGTAGTGTCCATATGTCATGTTCCTTTCGTGATTAATAAAAATTCATCATCTTTCGTGCTATTGTAGATATTGAAATTCTAAAAACTTTCCCATGAAATAGATAAAATTATTGTCAGGAAATTACTTCTGAAATTTCAAGTAAAAAATCCTGAAATTTTTAACAATCATTCATTTCCACGCAATTTTCATGTCTTTTGCTATTGAAAAATCAGATGAATTCTGCAATCTTCAATGGAATTGCAATTTTCAGGTCCACATGATAATGAAAATTACTAATTTGAAAATTCAAGTGACGTTTTCCCTGAAGTTTTCACTGAAATTCACTGAAAATTCAGTTGGATGTGTTCAATTTCCGCAATGAATTTGATAATCCTAAATGTCATTGAAATATTAGTGATAATTGAAAATGGAAGACCCAATTATCCTGAATTTCCAAGCTGAATGAGAGATTCTATGAACGATAGGATTTTAAATTGAATTCAAATTCAGAATAGTGAAAATTCAAGTGCAACTATTGCTTAATTTTCAAAAAATTTCCAACAGTGTATCAGCACAATGCGACTCGAATCAATTTTTTTCAATGTTTGTCAATGTAACAGTTGCATTTGAACATTCAGACATCAATTCCACTCATAATCCTTCCCTCAATCGAAAACAATGTGTTGAAACTTCTTCTTTTTTTCTCTAGAACCATTTTCAGAGATCACCTCTTCTGCAACAATGTCATTTCATTTCGCGCAGATTCAATTTCAACAAGTTGTCATCAGTTAAAATGCGTAACCTGAATTCCTCCACCAATGTTCATTCCGATCCACTCGCAATCCGTCAACGAAATTCAATACAAAGGAAATAGAATTCCCGCATCGTGTGAAATATCGAATTCCCCAACCCCGACGAGAAAAATCCTGTAAGCTACAATCTACACCCAGTAATTAAAAAAAACCCTGATCAAAGGCAAAAAGTCCCACAATAATAAACCTTGAGTACAGCGTTGACAGGTAGAATGAACCTCCCCTTTTTCTCATTTCATTTCTTTTCCACGATCAAAGTACCATAGATTGAAAAGCCGATATTTTTCAAGAGTCCCAGTGGCATAAGCACAGAGAGAGGACAGCTGTAACGACTGTGGAAGGCATGTCGCAAGCGCCACCAGGCGAGAGAGAGAGCGCCCGAGTCCGACAGAAAATGAAGAATAAAAAAAGAAATTCAGGGGGAAGAAAAAAAAGAGAAGAAACCCCGGGAGAAAAAAAGTTAATGGAATTTGTGTAAGAAAACCCCCGGGGGATATTCCGTCGCAAATATCAAAGAGTGGCCCAATTATTGTCGAAGCGATCTCTTTTGCTCTTTATATCCCAGTACGTGTGCAGCGTTGAGCGCATTCTGTCCAGTCAAAGGCGTAATGCTCTTTGAATGAACGCAGAGAGGAGAAATAGAGAGATGGGTGCAAAAATATTAAATGAAAGGAAACGAAAAAAACTTGAAAAAAAAATGCAAGCAATACAGTCCTGGGAATGAGTAGAAGAAAATGCCTGGGGAGGCCCTGGCGTGACGGTAGATAATCGTGAATCAACGAGGAAACGCGATGAACAAAGCATCGACTAAGTACCTCGTCAGCGGGTGTAATTTTTTTCCGCCTCTTGTCGTCGACCGAGAGGTAGAGGGGGGCGCAACTCTCGAAAGAAAAAAGTTGAATTGTCCCATCGTCCGTGTTGGCACATGGCTTACTAGATATAGAAAAAAAAGTGAAGGACAGAAACTATGAGAAGAGCGAGAGACCGCCTGGAGGGTAAGAAGAGGACGTGGTAATTTGTAAACTCGACGTGTGAGAAAAGTGGGCAAAACTTATAATAGAATCATCTTTTCAGCACGACCTGTCTCCAACAAGGTCACTCTGTGAATCTGGGGCTCCATGTACATGGATCATTCTTTTTCACTTCGAGCCATTGTACCTTTTCTCTTATTTTCCGAGAAAAATAAAAATACATACCGTTATCCTATTCTACCAGGCAATGGAATATTCGACCGTAAATTCGACACAACTATTATTCAAGAGGTGAGGCTTATACGCAGGTTGAGAGGATGCGCTTGGCGAGTGGGAAGCTGAAGATCCAGCGAAGATGCTGGAGATGGAGAGAGAAAAGAAAGAAAAGGAGGAGGAAATCTCTGGTTTGAAGGAGACCGGGGCGACGGGGGGAAGGAAGCCCTTATTGAAAACAGGCTCAACGGCCGAGACCCATTATTCCACCAGCATCACGGTCCATTGTGCCAAGGCGTGAGGCTGTAGAGTGAGCATCTGCCTGTGTCTATCGGTGTCTTTGTCTCTTTCGCTCCGCTGGTTTCTCATCCTTTGGCCATATTGTATACGCATGTATGCACGCGATCGCTCGTGTTCTCGTAACTTTAACAATTCGAAATATTGCTTTTTTTATCTCGTCTGAGGGACTTTTCGACACGCATTCCTCTTGCTTATTGGGGATGCGTGAGGTTGGTATTATGGCTTGTCACAGATGATCAATTTATTGTAACTATTGGTGCTGAAGTGTAGTGTGTTTGGGGGAGGTTGTTGAATACTGTAGGAGAAAAAAATACTTTGTTCATGATTTTCCTGTTGAATGGAAGCATTGGAAATGTCAAATCCAAAATTTCCCATTTTTTGAGGCAGGATAAGTAGTTTTGGCCTCAGAAGTTCGAATATGCTATTTTTAGACCATGCGCGCGCATGTATTTATGCATGTGTGTAGCGGATAATGTAGTTACGTATGCAGCGGATCGTTGTTCGATGATAATTGAAAAAATAATTGTTTAAATGAATCTAATTGTGATGTAAAATATTTTTCCCAATGCCACCTTGACCGAGTTTAATTATGAAATTGATTCCACCATCTGTTGTTGAAAAAATTGTTCTTAAAATCGATATTCGAGGAAAGGTAAACAATTTTAACGTTGGGGCATTGTTGGCTGCCAACGTTGGGACAATGTTGAATTCAACGAATCATTGAATTCAATTTAAAATACATCGCCACAGAAACTCCATTCGGAAGCAAATGGCTAATTTATTGACAAAAATATATTGACTGTTGTGTAAAAAGTAATTTCCTACTCGTTTAGATTTTTGCAAAGGCAATTTTTGATCTGCTTGATTCATCGTTTTCATTCACAGCGTATCCACTTTGTTAGTTCGAAGTCATCCGTAAAGAACAGCCAATGAAAATAGTAACAGACTAGCTTGTCAAGGCGTAAATGAGACTCGACGACAGAAGGAAAGAACAAAATTAAATGTTTGTCTATTGACCAAATTTATGTTCTTTTGTCTCATTTCTAATTTGATGTTTCTCCATCGTCATTTACCTTTTCTCTTATCCACCCTCGCGTTTCGCCCCCAGAGACTTTTCGCCACGCATTCCTCTTGCTTATTGAGGATGCATAAAGTTGGCGTTATGGCACAGGTGATAAATTTATCGTAACTATTGGTGATAAAGTATCGTGTGTTTGGGGGAGAAGGTTAAATACAGTAAGAGAAAAAAAAGCTCTGTTCACGTTTTTTCGATTTTTTAACAAAGGCAATTTTCGACCTATTCGGTGATTCTCTCATCGCTTTCATTTACATCGTTAGACCCACTCTGTTACTTGGAAGTCATCCATAGAGAGAAGCCAGCGAAAATAATAACAGATTAGCCTGTCGAAGCGTAAACGAGACTCGACCCCAGAAGGAAAAAACAAAATTGGGTGTTTGTCTATTGACCGAGCACATTTTCTTTTTGTCTTATTTTTGATTTGATGTTTCTCCACTGTTTTTTGCTTTTTCCCTTACCCACTCTCCCTTTTCACTCCCACTGTTTACTTTATGACCCTCTCACGAATGTTTATACGACGTGCACAATCGATTCACCGAGTACAAGGCTTTCGCCCGGGTTTTTCAATTGTTGAAATGTCGGAAGCAAACGAAGTGACGAAAATACATAGACCTCCCACATGCGTATGAATGAGCGAAAAGGTAAATCTCACACTTATGGAATTGTGTTTTCCTCCATTTTGCCAGCTCCCGATAATACGATTACATTGTTTTTGACGGTTCGTGAGGGAGAGAATAAAAAAATTTCGGTTCAAATAAGAAAAGACCGGAAACGGTGGATTTCTCACGTTTCTATACCCTCATCTCCCCATCCGTATCGTATTCGAAGGTGATGTTCCGTGATATTTGTATTAAGATTGTGGATGGCGATAGTAGAAAGTGGCAGAGAAATCAATTAATGCCATGTGACGCAGGAACTTGTCTGCAGACTACACCCTTTTTCGGCCCTTCTCGTGCCCCCCGGGGTTGTTTCTCTCTCCTTATCGCTCTCCCTCACTGCGGCAATTCCGGAATTTAATTCACGTCACGTTTTCCCCAGTGTGCTGATTGATAGATTGATTGTATTTCCAAATTCTCGGTGATGCTGCACCTTATGGTGCCTCCCTTTTTTTTTCTTTCGTTATCTATCGTAGCCTCATCTTCTCCTAATTACCTCGGGCTTCGTGCTGAGACTGACTGAGCTGACTAACGAGGAAGGGGAAATTGATTCTTCATTCTGTGTAGTTTCCTTTCTTCTCCCCTTTGTCGCAATTTTTTCCTCGGCTCCTGTAGTTTATTGACTTTATCAACAATTTGCGGGTGATCATTTTCCTCGTCACATGGATATAAAAGTTGAACGGTAATGGAATTAGGAAGAAGTTTTCGGCTGAATGTACGTGATTGGTAATGAAATTGGAAATATTGAGGATCGATTTTCTCGAAGAATATTACCATTACGGGGCAAATTACATGATAGTAATTTTTTTATTGTTACCATGCACTGTTGAATATTTTTGGCTGAAATTTCCGGTAAACTTTGTGGAAAATTTCGTATCATTGTAGTTTTACTGAAGTTTAAAGGGACTTTGTCATTAAAATTGCCGAATTTTATGGAAAAATCACGAAAGTTCAAGAATTCTCATCTGCCCGCTGCACAAAAATTTGGAATTTCATTGAATTCCCTGTGAATTCCTAAATTTCCCAATTTGTACACAAAATTTCAATTTTTTTCCAACAGTACAGAGTAATTCTCCCTTAACTTCTTTTCTCCAAATCGATATTAATATTTGTAACGGACTTTCGCGAGAGAAATTGACGTCAGAATCGAACACCAACCGAGAAAAACATGTAAGAAGCCGTTTTTCTCCGCCATCATTCTCTTCATTCTGCAACTTCCGTTTACCATTGAATCATATTTCAAACATTCTTCAGCTGCACCCGTTTGTTTCCAATATAAAACCTCGTGCATGAAAGTTTTTTGGATACCTCATCCCCATGGAATGTTGTTTGCCCGAACCCCGTTGAATGCGAATGGGATTCCTCCCGAATTCCCATTTTCCCTGGTATGAAATTTTCAGAATGCTCTTACCCGTTTCAACTACTCCAGACAGATAAGATACACGTAAACGTAAGAAAATGAAGAAGGAAAAGTCTCACCGTCGAATGAAATGTAACAGCGGTACAGTTACGAGCAATTTGTTCGAATATGTGAGGTACAAAAAAAGCCGAGAAACACGAGTCAGCGCGGCTGAAACAGCGATGGAAAAAAATCCAATTTCTCACGTTTCTATTCCTATTAATATTGATTTTCCCCGCGCCATTCAGTAATAAATGCACATGTCATTAATTAACTCTCGGCCGGCCATAAATGTCTCCATTGAATCGAGCGTTAGTCATTCATTATGAAAACTTCCATTAATCCGTGGAAATGCACTTCCAGCATAAAGTCCACACCTTTTTATACCAACCTCAACTATTTCCAACTGCTGAGAGCGATTCAAGCCTACATACACCATCGCACTCCCTCGTATATAAATGAACCCTTCAATAAAATCTCTCTCCATTAATGAAAAAAAAATCTCAAACCTCTTCACCCGAGCCCATCGACCATGCACTAAGTTAGTTACATCAGTTAACTTTCTCATGAATCATGAGATAATCCAATTTGGCCTTCAATTATCGAGTCGGTCGAACTGCGGTATTTAATCGATTGCATTGCATCAATCCACCCGATGCACTAGGTATAATATCGATTTTGGCGGGAAACTTTGCTCGTCTACAATTTTCCCCCGACCGTTCCCCTGCACTCGCCCTCCGGTGAAATTAATTGAGAGTCGTACAGCGGTTCTCCCAAGAGCCATAACGTCTTCCAACAAGCCCGTATCATCCCGACAAAACTCAAATCCGATGATACGACAAATCGCCCCGTAATATTCCAGCAATTAATATCGTGACGACTGAAAATTAATTAATTTCGAGCCCTGAATACTGAAAAAAAGATATACCTCAAAAGACCGAATACGTCGCACCACTTGATCTCCATTGATTCTGAAAGCCATTGAGCCTCACAAATAACCGTAGAATATAAAAGGCGCCCGAATCCAATGGCCCTCAACAAGATGACAGAGGAGCCGCGCATGAAATAGCTATTTTTTCTCACCGCTGCAACCTATCGAGAATATCCGGGTTCTGTACGACAATAAGTCTCTGGTCCCCATTGTGCGTGTAAATGTATTTTTTGCGTAATCCCAAAGAGAGAGAGAAGGGGCCCCACAAATGGGGGCGTATCGATGCAGCTTATCGGTGGCTGAGCCGTTAATGGAAACGAGACCGCGTGCAGACGCCCAAGTTTAATGCAAAATGAAAAAAAAAACCTCTCCCACCGTCACCCCCTCGTCCCACACCCAACTGGAATAACCACCATTTCGCAGCCGTACGAGACACACGTGCTTATAGCCAACGGATTCAAGCATGCGCCAGCGATCCGTCATTCGGTTGCAGCATTGCGTTGGCGTGACACGTCTCATAAAATAAAGCTGCGAAAAACAGGCGGAGGGGGAAAAAAAGAAGTGGATGAGAGTCAGTAGGACGATATGTAACAATCCCCAGCTTATTCGCTCTATTTTTCCATGCCCTCGGTCCCTCCACCCCCGATCTACCAGCGGACCGATAAAATTCGTGGTAGGAAATTTGTCATGCTCACGGTTCATTGGATAATCCTCGTGAAATTTATAGAGCAACGTACGAGACGACTCTTTGTTTTTTCCCCGGACGTATCATAGGAATATCATAGAATGGGTACATAACGCCCGACCTGATAAAAGTAATTGGAATATATCTGAATACCCATGAACATCCAGGTATTAAGTTATATGGTTACTGCGAGCTACTCGGCAACTCTATAAAGGTGAGAATCGAACGAGAAAGCTATGGTTGATAGTCCAATGGTCCCAACATCGTCCCCCCTTCTCTGCCCCCGTATTTCAGCTCCACCTCCCTTCCACCCCCTGCACCACCCAGAGGCAAAACAGCTCGTATATTCCATCATATCTGATTTCCCTCAGAAACTCACGGTATCTCTCTTCCACCAACTCACACTAGCCCCCCCTGTCTCCCCCTGCCGTGCAAATGTTGTGAGAAATCAGAGATAGAGGTGAGGTAGTGCAAGTGCATCATCTGTGAAATATAATTGTACACCTCGTCGCATCGTTCAGGTAGCGACCTGTCGATTTCATCGTGCAATATTTTCTGCTCCATAAAATACATTCTCGTTAAAGGGAAAAAGGGAGTGAGTGAGTAAGATAGCGGAAGAGCCTCGAGGCTGTATTTTTCAAGTGCCTCTCACCGCGTTGTTTATTGCATATACATTCATGATGATCTGATTTCCCCGTCTTACACGATCAAGCATGCAATTCATAATCTCATTCTCAGCATCAGTGATTCCTCGAGGGCAATATTTTGTATTATCATAATTCATAAGATTTGTTGGTGCGATACGTCTGGTGCATACGTTAACACCCGAAAAATAATGATACAGCAATTGTGTAGTGAAATGTAAAACAACAAATTTACCTAATTTATGGTCCTATGCCCACAGATGCTGTGTTGGCGGTGGTGGTGGTGGTGGCAGTGGCAATGGCCGATCCAATACTGGTATGGGTGATACATCGGGCATGGCAAATTTAAGCTTCTGCCAGAAGAGTTTGTCACCCCACACAAGTACAGTGTGCGATGAGATCCTTTTTCTAAGATCAGCGTCAAGATCACGTGGGCAAACACCACCGACAAGCAGAAGTATGACTGATCTACCTTTACCCCTGAGTGCCTCTCTCAGGGCTGATTTAAATTCAAATCTCGCCCACTCGCCGTGCAAAAAATTACGTGACAGAATGAGAATAGTACGTCTCGAAGAGTCAGCAGCTTCAGCTACAGCGTCGGCAACATTAGCACCAGCACCTAAGTCTCGATAATGTAAACACAGACGATAGGATGACTCAAGACCGGGCACTAATACCCTCGATACAAAGTTTTCATCGACTGCTGAGTAAGATATATAAGCGTCAAATGGCTTTTCACGATCCTCGAATGCAGCAGTTTTGTAGCAAGCACGAAGTCCACATCTACTTGCTGCCCATGTTCTGATAGTTCTGCGATGTCGAAATGCACCGCAGAGTAATGCAACCATGGCGAAGAAAAGTACAGCTGTGGCCAGTAGGAGTGGCAGATATGCCTCCAAGGGACGCGTCTCAATAGCTGATGTTGTGCCCCTCAATGCTGCGCAGTTTATTACGGATCCATTGGCTGGAAGCGTTATCGGCATACCAAGTGCACACGTGACCCGTTTCCAATCGCTGATCTTAGCTGTATTCTTCGACATCCAGTCACGCACATGATCGAGATATGTACACTCACAACTCCATGGATTATTTGAAACGCTAATGTCGACTAGATATGGATTCTGGGCGAGTTGCCACAGGGCAAAGGTACCGAGACGATTGTTGTCCAGTCTGAGGACCTCCAATTGACGTAATTCGAGGAATGTCCCGTTGTCGATGTGGGAAAGCAGGTTATTCTGGAGGTAGAGCTCCTTGAGATTCTCCAGTGGCAGCAATTCAACCCCATTTAGTTGGGCAATCTTATTGTTCTCAAGATGAAGGACAATGAGACGCTTAAGACCACTGAATGTGTGATTGTGAATGGCAATTATGTTGCTGTCATTGACATACAGTACCTCAAGATTTTTACGGCCAATGAACGAGTGCGATGTCAGCTCACCGAAGTTATTGCCGTCGAGGTAAACCTCGGTGGCGTCCATCGGAAGTCGTCCGGGTAGACTTTTATACCCCGAGTTTGAGCAATCAACGACATTAGCTGACCATGATTGATCGTGGTAGCACGTGCAGTTGGTTGGACAAGTCATCTCACAGTCGCATGCATCAAAGTCACAGCAGTGACAGAGGGCAAAGCAGTGTGTTTTGTACGTACAGAGAAATTGTGATGGTTTAGCTTCGAGGAGGGGTATGAAAGAACGATGTCTATCATAGGGGAGCCGGCAATATACTGATTCGAGGTCCATGACCCTTGGATGCTGTCTCAGGGGCAACGAATTTATCCTCTGAAGCCATTCGAGCGTACAATCACAAATGAAAGGATTTCCGCCGATGTAAAATTCTGGTAATGGACGATTCTCGGCTACTTGCGCCAACTGGAACACTGAGAGATCCATCTTGACTATCTGATTCGCGTATAGATCAACTCGGGTGAGATTCTCCTTGTCGTGAAAAGTCTGCGGTTCGACTGTATGAATCAAGTTGTCGTTGACAAAGAGGAGCTCTATTGAGTCGGGAACAGATTTTGGATGGATTTTCGTCAATTTGTTGAATGACATATCGAGTGTCTGCAGGTGAAAACCCACCGGTGAAACACCAAGATCAGCGATTTGATTTTTGTGGAGATCCAACCACTGGAGACGCGTCGGCAAAATGCTGTAATCAAAATGTTTAATCATGTTGTCGGACATGTTAAGCCACAGGAGGCTTGGAGCATCGGCAAATATGCCAGATATATCCTGCAGAAAGTTGGCATCCAGTCTTATCGCCTGCAATGCTGGGCTTCCAGAAAATGCAGCATGCTCTACATAATCAATTTGATTTCGCGCTAAGTTGAGAATTTGAAGTGCTGGCAATTCGGCGAGTGCCTCTTTGGTCACATTCACAATCTCATTACCAATCATACGTAATCCGTATAAACTGGACATGCCTCGGAATCCAGGCTTCTCAAGGCTTTTAATTTGGTTCTCACCCAGGTCTAGTGTTCTCAGCATACGCATGTCTTTGAGAGCAACGGGTATTGCTTCGAGATTGTTGCCTGACAAATTGAGGTCCTGCATGCTGGAACAATTTCTGAAAGCATCTGGATGAATACCCTCGAGTAAATTCGAGTCCAGTGAGAATAATGACATGGCAAACAGACCATTCAATGAATATGCGTCTAAGTAAGTGAGTTTATTGTGTGCCAAGTCCAGTGTGTGAAGATTACTCATTGGTGAGAATGTGTCAGCAGGTATTGTATCAATCTCATTGTGATGGAGATTGAGTATCTGTAGTGTGTAGAGATCTTTGAATAGCGCTGGATCGACTTTGACAATTTTATTACGTGACAAATCCAGCAGCACCAGACGAATCAACCCAGCGAATGTTCCAGCATTGAGCCAGGAGCTCGTCAATGTATTCCTTGATAGATCCAGGGTGACAAGTTGATTCATGTCAGCCACAAGACCCGGCGCCAGTGCACTGATCGAATTGTTCTGAAGCCGCAATTCCTTGAGTGTATTCGTAGCATCCTTGAACATTCCAGAGGGAAGTGCGACAATTCTATTACTCGATAGGTCAAACACTTCCAACAACCTCAAGCCCCGTAGTGCACTGTCATCGACCATGCTGATTGCATTACCGGATATATTGAGTGTCCTCAGTCGTTTCAGGGCTGAAAATCCAAATGGCGGTAGCACGGATATTTGATTATTCGATACGTCCAAACTCTGTATATCGAGAGAACACGCAACCGGTAACACTGTTGACTCTAACTCTCGTTTAGGATGATTTCCAACGTAATCACTGAACCCCAACTCCGTAACGTCCTTTAACATATTCCACGACACATTGAGCGACACTAAATTCGCCAGTGGACAGAATATACTCTCCGGCAATTGCCATATATTATTGTGCGACAGATCAATTTTCTCAATCAACGGTGTCATATCGAAGGCACCACGCTCAAGTTCAAGACTGAGCTTACTCTTCTTACCATTGAGACTTTTAAGCGTTAAATTACGCAAATCCCGAAAACCGTTGAGCATTCTTGCTGGCCAATAAATGAATTTGCATCCAATTAAGCGAAGTTCACGTAGACGCCAGAGATGAAGAAAATCTTCGACAATTGTCGAACTTGTACCAGTCTCTGGATCCCAATCCTCGCAAATGATATTCATCGTTGTGACATAGTCACTCGTTACACGTGATAAATTTGAATGAGGCGAATTGTCACTATCGATAAATCGATAGACACACGTTAACGCAGCATCGCTCTCCCAATTGCAGTGCTCAGGTACTTCGAATTTTGGTGGTGGTGCACTGGTAACAGCCAGCACATGACATGCACCAAATACCAAACACCAAGTCAGTCTCATGGATAATGATAGGGGTGATTTTTTACCAGTGGACTTCATCGTTTGATGATTATACTTCTTGCTCATTACCGTCTGGAATTCTCAGCAAATCCACAGGGCTCTCATTACTCAAGTGTTTCTTCCTCTACCCTTGGTGTTTTGTTACATCCAAGAGTTACATCGAGGTACTAGTGACAACTGCACAATACCATACTTCCTTCTGGCATTCTATAAAAACTAGATGCCCTGTGGCAAGCATCTCGGCACTTGTATTTCCGCTCGTCTGGATTTCTACCTTCTCCGTTGTGTCCCTCTCGTTGCTTTACTCGCTCGATCTCCCTCTTTCTTTTCTATTCAAACCAACAATTGTCCTTCCTCCTTGGAAATTATTCCGTGCACGCCTCTTCTCTCCTCTCCTACTTCCATTCGCCGTGCGGAATGCGAAACCGTTTCGCGCTTCACCCTGCAACTCCTCGTTTTCTTTTAACTCTCGTCTACTTTTACCTTCCCTTCCTTTGTTGCTTTTTGTATATGACTTTTCTTATAACTCCTTTTTATCTCATCTCCTTTGTCATGACCGAGGTAACGTTACTCATACCGTGACCAGTGTTGTTTTCCTACGAAAACCGTTATTGTTGGTTACTAATTTACGAGCTTCTCTGTGACATCGTAAGGGATATGACAATGTACCAGTGAGCCGAGGAGAGTATCAATAAACACCTTTACCGTGATAAGCCAGGCGTAGGCAATCGATGTGGTCAGCGAGGTGAGTGCCATACATTGTGCACAAAACCCTCTGATTTATTCACCCCGCGGGGTGCACAAAAGCCCATATATCTTGGATCCAGGAGTGTTCCGTACTTTATATCACATCACAGTTGTTGTTCAAATCCGTCGTAAATTATTCACATCAACATCCTAAGGACACCTATCACGCACTGAAGAGAATCCTTGAAATCCCGAAAATTCAACTTCACTATTCATCCCTCGGTGTTCTCCATTTGTTAGGAGGTATCAACAACAATTCGTATTCCAAATTCCGTAGGATCGGTGAACAGAACAGGACCTCTACGATCGGAGGCCACCGCACGACTGACGGGAGATTTTCGTGGTCTGTAACTCGACGCAGCGTCCGCCAATCGTCCCGTGCGCCCCCTTCCCCCTTCAGAACCCTCTCGCCATCGTTCTTCCCATTTCTCTCGCTCTTTTCCAAGTGGCGCAGCCGCCTAGTATTCTCCCCCGTATAACAGAACAGTGTACCCAGAGCGAGTGGCAAGCAACGCCGCTAAGAGGTATATTCGCAGCCGCTGTGGCTCCTGCCACACGGTGTACAACTGCAAGAACCGCTCGCGCATAATAACTCTGATGCTATGACGTATACGAATCCTTGAATGACGAATCGAGGGGTTGAGGGGGATGCTGTATGTCAGGAACCACTGCTCTTTTCACTGCGGATAATGGAAAGCATTTTGGTCGTTTTGAATTCGGAACTGGAGATGAAATCGAGAGGAATTAGAGACGATTCGGGTGAGGAATGGTGGCACTCAGGGATATTCGGGTACTTTGGGTATTTTTTCGCCAGCGAAATGCTTTTTTACTTTTGTACTTTTGCGTCGGGACATCTTGTAATGATTTATTATTTAAACTTTGCAGGTCGGAATTCGAATCTCGATATTGTACCGTTAGAAAACAGTTAAAAATCTGAAAAAAATTAGAAATTTTATTTTTGGAGGAAGATTGATTAAATAATTGGGATTTTTTTAATTACGAGCATTTGCTATAAGTAATTTATAAACAATCAATTTTCCTACATGAAAATCATTTATTCGGAATCGTGACAATTTTATTCATATTCAGAGTTTTACCAGAAAACGATTTCAAGAAGTCATGTTATTTGCATATTTACGATTACAGCGAAATTTGTAGTCATATTTTCCAGAAATACTTGAATGGAAATAGCAAGAAAAATGGTTAAGAGAATAATGCATTGTTACAAGAATTTGAATGAAAAGTAACAGGAATTTTTGCACGTAAAAATTGTTTTCACCAGACGAATGGTGTATGTTGAATGGACACACGAATACATGAGTTTTCTTGAGAAGGTTGAAAATTTGACGTAAAAAATCTCATCACTTTTGAAGTTACTGGAAACAATATTATTATCTTTTATTTGAATAACCTGTCAATTTCTTATACTTATTGTTCATCTAAGCACTTTATTTATGACCGTATTCTGACTTTCGCACAATGAAAAGTATGAAGTAGTTCCAAGATAGATTTGTGATCGAATTTTATCAAAGAAATCGTTTTCTTGAGAGAAGAATTCATTTTCTTAAAAGCGTATTTCTCCAGGTCGCTCATTCCCACGTGGTCCATGTACATCTTCAAATATTACAATTATATTGAATTATGAAATAATTATGCTACATATGACCTTGAATAATAACCCCTTCAATCTTTATCAAATTTGGGATTTTCTCACCTAAAATAATTTAGAATAATCCTAAATGTTAATAATTGTCCATGGCGTTGATAATCATCCGATAATTTGTAATTCATAATTGTAATTTTTGGAGATGCACTCGGACCACCTGAGAATGACTCGCCTGGAGAAATTCGCTCCTGAAAATGATTCCTGAGCAGAACTAACATTTCTTCTCATTGTAGAATTCAAAATAATTCAAATCATTTTGACCCAATATTCCAACCTAAAATTTCCGACAAATTATGGAGGTGAATGAACCGGTATTTGCCATCGTCTTTTTGAACGAGAAGACTTGAATTTTATGCATTCGTTACACCTGTTCCCCGATTGGGTTTGCTCACCAATCGCAGCGCTTTATTCGCGCGAGTCGCTTTTACAACTTGCTCGTTTAAGTTTCGAGTAGTCGACTCTCTCACGCCCCTTCAGTATCTCTCTCTTCCTCGCACCTCCGTTGCTCACCGGAGTATATATACAGTCATTCCCATCGTATACTGTCGTTCGTTGCAACGAGAAAACCACGAATTTCCTCTCTGGCAATTCAATTTTCACCTTTTTCCTGCTTTGTTTTTTCCCCTCGGCATCATCAGTATACACGAAACAGCTGGGAATTGTGAAAAATTGGTGGGTGAATGCAATCACCTGACAACACTGGACTAATTAATTCCGGGTAAATATTTAACACTCGATTAATTTGGATCATGTAGATTTTTATGTACACGAAATACCACGTGGAACAGGGGGGTTACATATTAATCCCCATGTATTGCCTTTTTCAATTGAAAGATTGAACACGATCAATCGCATCGAGCAACGAGGATACCCTTGGGGAATGGCACTGGTGATTGGCTAGTTCCGGCATAACCCACTCCTGTCCGACAAAGTTGAATGCCCCATCTATACACAACTCGGGGTGTATAAATGCAGTCATTCGGTGCCACGTGTATATCTACACAACACTGAGGTGCACGAAAAAAAAAATAAAACAATAATGAAAAAAAATTGTCAATTCGCTGGAAAAAAAATACACAGACCTCTGTAGATCGAAGCGTGATTTCATTTCGACCGGAATTCGTGCCTTGTATTCCATGCAGCGACCTCCATTCGTAGCCCCTGCCGGGGAAAAAGTACCACCCGAAATTTAAAAAAGTGAGAGAGAGAAAAAATGGTATTACTAAAAACCTCAATTTATTTCCCGACAAAATTAAATGCTTCACCCCACACTGGTGCTTCGAAAAGCAGAGGACATAACATGTGGTCTCGCGCTGTGAGTTTGGAAAAAAATAAAACTGCCCGTGAGTGGAAAAAGGAGGGATAAAAAATACTGAAAATGCTGGGAGTAAAGTCGTTACATGGAAGTCAGTAAACTGTCGAATCCCCTCCGTTGGACTCCAGCCGTGATCTGGTTATTAAATTTTCAACGACGCACCTGATATAATTTTATTGGCTTCTGTGGGGCTATTGCCGGTATAGAATTTCCCCGGTACATGCGGCACTGTGTGGCGCCCCCTTGCGCTGTACAAAACCCCTTCCTAACTCCATCCCTCTTTCGGTGTTGTATCATTCGTTCGCATGCAGCCCTAAGCGTCTACACGTGCCACGAGGCATTCTTAATCCGAAAAAAATATGTGGAAAGATCAAAGGATTCATTAAAAATCGAAAATCTCATTCCCTCCCCCGTCACGGAAACATTCATCCAATTAACAGGAACATTTTCCGCCCATTGGATTAAATAAATACCCCTGTCATTATATTCCCCGCCGATTCCACCCTTTTGTGTGACCATAGTTGACCCTTAACAGCGGGAAATATTCCCTGACTAGTGGGCGGTAACGAATGCATTTGGAGGGATTAAAACAACCGAAAAAAGAGATATAGCGCTGGAGTTGGGGAAAAAGTACGGAAAGGATATAAAATTATTTTTAATATGGGAAATAGAATGCAGGACCATACCTGCCACACTCGAAAGTTTATACTATTTTACATAGTAGATTTGATACACGGAAAAAAAAACTTGATTCAAGTATATTTTATCCTCGAATGGGGGATGGGTGTTTCAATTCGAGGATGATTATTTCGTGTCAGCCCGGGTTGTACTAAGCGCTCTCAAGTGTAATATAAGGGTCAGACACTCAGTGTGAGAATATAAGGGTCAAAAACTGAGTGCCTGAATGTAAGGGTGAAGGAATGAGGGTCATATAAGGGGTAAAATCGGTGATCAAGCCTCATTGCCTGGCACCCACTTTTTTTACTTTTATATTCTGACCCTAATGTTTTGACCCTAATATTCTGACCCTCATTTTTTAACCTCCACTTTTTGACCCTTATATTCTGACACGTAGTGCCGAAACTTATATTATACTTAAGAGAGCTTGGCTGCAACCCGGCCTGATACAAAAAAATTATCTTCGAATTGGAATACCCATCGCCCAATTGAGTATAAGATATACTTGATTCCAATTTATGAGGATAAATATGATTTTTTATTTCGTCGGGGAAAAAAATATCTCACCCCTTTCACAACGAATATTCGCGGCAGATGACGAGAGAGAGGGATTTTTTGAATGTTTATCAATGACCTTTCGAATCTTTATAAGTAATTTTGCTCCACGTATATTCATTCTGAATAAGAGGAGGTGGAAGAGGAAGGATTGAATATTTTAGAATTACAGAATTGAAAACATTCGTCTCTCTCATCAACCGCAGGAGTTTTTACTAGTCAACATCGTAATTTCTGCAATTTCCTCGAGTAAAATATATTACGCCGGAGAGAATGAACTAAAGTTTTAAATCGTAAAAAAAAATTACAATTCAACATGGTAAAAATGCAGTTGAGTAATTTCTCGTCGCTCAATAGAAAAGAAATGATTAAAAAAAGCGCGTTTCTAATACTTTTCAACATTATTTTTCCGTCCGTGCATTTAATACTGTTTATTCTCTTAAAAATTACGACGTAATGTTTAATTTTATATTTTCTCCGTGAGCGCGACGAAAATTTAGTGATTCCTCCGGTAAAAAAAGTTCTAACACAAACTCTTTGATATGCCGATGGGAAAGGACAAGTTTTAATTAAACAGAGAATGGCCGTTTAATCGAGCAAAAGGGATTAATTGCCGAGGGGTTAAAACATCGAGGGGGTTGAAGCAAAAAAAATACCTGGAACACAGAAAGAGAGGAATGGTTAGGGTGAATTTTTTGGGTGAGGGACCCGACGCGCCACTGTCTCGCCGATTCTGTCGACGCAGTCCCTTTTCCTGAGTCTTTCTGGATACGCAAAACGGCTCGTATAAATATCCACCGACCGCACTTCTCCTCACCCATCCATATAACCAACATCCTCCATCCTTTCCACGTAAACCCCGCACCCTTATTTCTCCGCCGCTATTTTTTCCCCCCCGTGCACATTCTCGTGAGGCTCTTTTACTTCCAACAGTGAATAAATTAACTGTACCTAGCACCAACGGGCAAATTAAAACAAACGTGGCAATGCTTTACGACGACCTCGGGATTAAACTCGAGGAAATGTAGAAATGTAAGTTACTAACTCCCATGTATATTAGCTAAGGTCATTTCCCCGCCTCGCCCCTCCCCCCAAC